ACTGAAAATTTCCAAGGGTTTGTTTTTTCTTTCAAGAAACATGACGAGGTGTGACTGTATGATGTGAAATTTCCAACCTAGACAGATCTTGTGTGTTGTGTATTCTATCAGATACTTATGCAAGTTGCACATTTCTGAGACAAATTCCTGAATATCTCTGCTGAACTCAAGAGAAAGCTTCATTCCAAAACATCCTTCTGTCACTAAAATGAACAAATTCAAAGGAATTATGTTTATAATTACTTATAAACAATAAGTGAAAAAGTAATTAACTAATTTTATACCGATTTTGAATTTCCTTAAAGTCTCAATACAGGGTCTCATCAGGAGTGGAGCTATAGTTATGAGTTCATCCAAACAAGAAAGTACTTTTTGACAGTTAGGTCCATCAAATCCTCCTCCATTGTAACCGTGCCTAGTTACAGTTTTACCAATTAGGAATTTTTTAATTGACTCCTCAGCTATCAAAACATCTGTTATTTGCATAACAATATGTTCAAACAAATGTAATTCAGGAGGAGGAACTATATCAATAACAAGAGTTTCTCCAGATTCCTCAATTAGGCATGGTCGAACAACATTTTTATAGTTTTTCATATCCTTATTAAGTTCCCCATCCTCAATAAATTTCTGATACCAATTGGTCAAACTTTGAAAAGTCCTCAACTTTCCATTTTTGCAGTCTTTTTCACCTTCACAGTAACAGCAAGCATACTTTCCCCCGTGTGCCTTTAAGTATTAGTATTAAAAAAGACTATAAGTAATAAATTAAAAATTAATAAAGTAATAAAAAGCAATCACTTTTTATAAATTATCATGCAATTACACAAAATAATTAATGTTTAACTTACAGAAATGCCCAGTAAACAATAAATAAGCTTCAGGTCAGCTGCTACTGTGTATTTTAGCTCATTTAGCTTAAGTAACTTAATAAGCTTCTCCAAATTATAATTACTTTCTTGTACTCCACGTACAAGACCCAAAATAAGAACTGTATTGACCCCTGTATTTTTCATGTTTCTTTTCTCTGATTGTAGCTCTTCTGGGTTAAAGATGTTCATTATGACTTTCAGTGAACCTTGACCTCCATCAATACCAACTCTTATTAAACAATTGTAGGGGTTAAGTTTTCTGTGTACACAAATCTTTTTTATTAGTTCCCACGGTTCAGGAAAAAATACAACATCTTTTTGAATTGTATCAACAACCTTGCAGTTTCCATTGTTGTGTGTTTGTTGAAAGCTGCATAAAACGTTTTTATAAAATTGATTTAACTGGGAAGAATTGTCCTTAATAATTTTTGAGGCATTAGGTTCAATACCTAGCAAAAAATACAAGAATAATTTATAAATATATAAGTAATATAAATATATGCAAAACAAAGTTTATATACATTACTGTTACCTCCACGACCCAAATCTTTATGTATCTCAGTCATTATACAATCCATTGCTGACATGGGAAGATCCATTTTCTTTTTTATATTAAATGTATCTGAAGATATTTCTAAAATAGATTTATGCACATCTCCAGAGTAGAGAGCAACATGAAGGGCTTTACCATCTACAAAAAATATATGGCAAACGTTCTATTCGCTAATGTTTAACTTTAATATAAATGTATTTTATAAAATTAATAATAAATATAGATAAATAAAGAAATATAAATACACATTTACCTGTTGCTACAGTTAGTTTGTTATTTTCAGATGTTTCATACATATCTTTTAGTACAGAGGAAATAACTTGTTGGGAGGTTTTTGAGTCTTGAGAAAGAATGAGCTTGTGTAGATTTTGCACTATTTCAGATTTTGTGCAAGGGTGTCTGATACCTTTACCTACCTTTTGGCAGCAATATGTGCAAAAAGATGCATTATTTACATCTGAGGGCTTCTGCGTATTAGCAAAATCTTTAATAAATTCAGAAAGATTGATTTTTCGATGACTTCTCTTCTCTTTTGCAATACAGCAAATGGAACATGTGCATAAACTAGTATCCTGTAACCTACCTAGTTTTCGTAATAATATTCTTCCAATCTTCCACAAATCTTCTATGTTTTGCGAAACATAGTATTTTATATACGTTTATATATATATTTACATTTTCATATATCGTCAATACATCAGCATTAATGACAAACTTTTATTTAACCTTCTTTAAATGAAGACATTTTTTACATGTTGAACAAACTCCAGATGGTAGAGAATTGATTTTCAAACAAAAGCCTGGATCCACATATAGAATAATGAGTTCTTGTAGAGCTGGGTTATTCTCTAATTTATGACATTTTACGTCTTTATTTAGACAGCAACAACAAACTATATTCCTGTTTTCTTTATGAAACCTTTGTCTTTTTAAGCTCATTTTGACACAATACTAGGACTTTTTTAATAAATCTTTAGTATAATTTTTATGTTAATATCTAAATGTAAAGTAACTTTTCAAACAGTTCTAATGCAGAGATCTTTTCAGGTCTAAAATAAAGCTAAAAATAACAACAAAGGCATTTTTATATATTTGAAACAAGTGGTGGATTCTGTGTTTTTGTTTTGTTTGAGAAAGCTAACTTCCAAACAAAAGATAAAATCAAACATTTATATGTTTATGTCAAATAAGGATGTTTTGCATATTATTGGGATGATTAGAGCCTGGGAACAATAACAAACCAAATTTTTTGCCCCCCCCTACCTTGCCCCAAACGTGAGAGCAACAAGTTTGCAAATTTTTTTTTTTTACTTTTCTTAACTTAGTTCATTTTTTATAAGAAATTTTAAATTTCGTGCAATAATTTTTTAGCGTTCAAAAATGATGGCCATTTAAAGTTTTAACCCCCATCAATTTGAGGGGGTTACAAATTTAAGATTGACATATTTCTTGAACTATGAAAAATTTTTTTCATAAAATTTGAAATTTCTAAATTAATATGAATTTAGTTTAGAAAAGTTTATAACAAAAATTATGAACTTGTTGCTCTCCCTTTTAGGGCAGGGGGAAAGATTTAAGGGGTTTTTATTTCCCTGGCTCCGAATATTTCGATATTTTTACAAAACTTTCTTGTTTTGACACAAGTATAAACATATTAATGTTTGGAGTTTACTCTATGTTTATAATTTGGTATCTAAAACACCAAAAAATGCTTAATCCGCTACTGAGTTAAAATTTCTTTGCAAAGTGATTATTTAAAAAATTGTATAAATCCAAAAAAGAAACGCTTTTTATTTTGTTTTCAATGGAATATATCTCATACCCACCCAGAGTATTGATATCTTTTGAAACATCTTGAGTACCTTTTAGGTCAACCTAAAACCCCTAAATCGAAGCAGTGACTGGCAGAATTTTTCTAAAGTTCACATTTTGAATTTTTCATATTAGAATTCAAATTATTTTATTTAGAGATAACATCAAATAGAAAAGAAATGGAAAATATAAAAAGCGCTTCAACAAACGCTTTTGATATTTTTCAAAATCAAAGTTGTTTTCTCCTTTTCAAAAATGAAAAGGAGAAACCAACTTTGTTATTTTGACATTGTAAATATTTTTTACATTGTAAAATATCTCATCAAACAAATAATTCAAAATTGAAATGCAAGAATTGTATTGAAAAAAATTAGTTCTGAAGTTGCAAGAAAGTCACCAGAACTATTTTTGATGGTTTTTGATGCAAATAACTAAAATCAATCTTTAATCTAACGTTTAAAAAAAACAATTCATTTTAATGTTTATAACAAAATGGTGTTATAATTATGTTATAATAGAAATTAAATTCAATATCATACAAAATCATATAAAAAGTTGCTAATTGAATCTTGAATTGTTTTTGTAATTTCTTTATAATTTTGCTTCTTTGTTGTCAAATTTTAAAGTTAAATGTTGAACTTTTTTGAATCATAATATTGCTAGATTGCACCATATTATTGCTATCAATAGCAATAATATGGTGCAATCTAGCAATATTATGATATTGCACCATATTATTGCTAGAATAGGTAGTGTCATAATATTGCTGTTTTATCTGTACCTTGCAAGAATGTTATTATGTTGCTTGATAATGATGTTTCTACTTTTCAAATGGCTTAAACAAGAGTTTAAGCCATTTGAATATAGTAAAAAACAGAAAATCTTGAAAAAATGTACAATGTGAAATTTTCTGTTAAGACCGCATCAACAAATGTCGCACGAACTTTCTATCTAAAAATTCCAAAATAATTTTTAAGTAATGTTTACCTAGTTAATCTCTTGTTAAGTCAATTAAATCATATTTTTATAAGAAAAACAAAATTTTTTCAATCATTATTTTTACTTTTTTTAATTATTTGTAAAATAAATTCCAACAAACAAAAAATTACACAAATTAGGCTTAATGAGATTATCTATAAAATTATTCGTTAATTTGTTTAAAAAAATTGTGTTTTCATGAAAACAGTATTTTCTCTATAAGTCTTCTAGTCTTCAAAATAAACTAAATGAAGAAAATATATAAGAAATAGATTTATTATAAATTCACAATAATACTGGTTTTATTTTATTTTTTATTTTTTTATTTAATTAGAAGGGCCATTGCCTCCTAAATCTTTATCAATAACAAATATTATTGATACCAAAGTAAATTTAAAATGGACGGCATCTTCATCTAAAGTTGATAGCTATCAGTTGTTTATTCGTAACTCAAAGAGCTTACAAGTTACAAATCAATATGTTGTGTCGAGTGATGTTTATGAAATAGAGGTGGAGTTGCTTACTCCTTCAACACCGTATTCAGTATTTGTAAATGCACTTTTAAATAATGTGAGAAGTTCATATTTAACTGGTGGCTTTCAAACTAGAATTGGTAAGTTATTTTTTCAAAATAAATTAATTATAAAACATAAAATAAACATGTTTTAGTGTAACTATTAGTGTTTGTAATAATTAGTTATAACCCAGTTAGTATGTAACACAGAATAGTTAGTATATAACACAAACCAGAATAAGTATTATTAAACATAGTACAGTACAACTAGTGTAAAACACAATTGCTAATTTTAATATTGTTTAAAATTAACTATCAGCGTTTTATCCTTATTTTTTTAAAATTTTAAATATTTAGTATTATTTATTTTTTTGTTATTTTGTTTTTGCTTGTTTTGCTTTTTAACTTTTTGTTGTTATTGTTTCATTTTTTATTATCTTTGAAATTTTGTTTATTTTGAGTGCATTGAAACTTAAAAAGGTGGCTAGGAGAGAGTGACTTATGTATTGTTGATTTTTCAACCAATTCTTTTCCATCATTTATTTATTTTTAAATTTGATAAACAGGTTTTAAAAAATCTAGACATATAGCAAATCATAATCAACATTTTAACTATGTGATTAAAACTTGTATCTGTAATTTTAATGAGTGATTAAAGTAATGGGTGTATTTAAAATAAATATCAGCATTTGATTTTTATTGATTTAACAATAATCCTACAAACTTTAATAAGTTTAAAATAAATATAAAAACAAGTTTAAAATAAATATAAATAAAAACTATTATCTTAGAGTAAATATATGTAAATTTACATGATTATACAATATAAACTAGAGTAAAACAGGGTAAAATGAAATAATGGGTAGAACGAAATAGTTATGACAATGTTTATTTTATCGCTCTTAATTAACTATTGAATAATTTTTTTGAAAATATTTTTTGATTATATTGTAGAGAATATTTTTCTGAGTAAAATTGTATTTTATTTTATTTTCAATTAATAAAATTTTGTTATTAATTTATAAGTTTTCGAATGTGTAATAAGATTTTTTTTATTTGTTTGAAAAGGGAACTTAAAACTTATTGAACTTAAAATGTTTACTGATGCAACTTTTTACCCTAATCAAGAATCTTTTTTCAAAATTAAATGAGCTATTTAAGAAAAAAAGTTATGAGTTGAAAATGGAAACTGAGTGTTGCGGGGTTGAATGAAATACGCTAATAAATAAATAAATACAAAGCAATAGCTTATTTATTAAAAGCGGTTTTTTTTATTAGGTCTCAAGTGATCAATAAATCTCCAACTACAAATTTTTTGTATAAATTTCAATGAATTAATTTTTTTAAACTGAATTTAAATGACTTTTACTTTTTTAATGGTTCTAATAAATGAATAAAATTCGCTAGTTACTCTCTTTTTAATTTGCTTACCAGCTCATTCGTCGCACATTCTACAGCCACTAGATGTTGGTGTTTATTGCTATGTCAAAAGAGTTTGGCGCAAATTACTTCAACAGTTTTATGCAGAGACAAAGTTTAGCAACTTATCAAAAGAATGTTTCAATCACCTGCAAAAAAAACTTTTCAGCTCTGGTGAAGTTTTTACACGTACTTAAATAATCACTCGACATCAATATAATTGATCAGTCAAAGTTGCAAATTTCTAATATATTTGAAACACCAAGATCTTAACCTGAGCCTTCATCATCTCAACAACCAGAATCTATGATAGTGCCATCACCAAATCTAGCATCAGGAACTACACTACCTCAGCCACTGCCCTCTGAATCTACACCAACAACATCTAGCTTCAGCATATGTATCATAGCATCAGCTCCAAGGTCATCTCAAAAGTCACCTTGTCTGCAAACAACCTTTAATATTGTAGTAACTCCGGCTATTCAAAAGGAAATTCAAAAGGAGGTTGCAAAACAACTGCAATCAGCCTAATCACTTGGATCAGCTTTGCAACAAATGTTTGATATCCAACACGTTGACACACAAAAAAAGAAAAAATGTAGATGTGCCAAGATTCAAAATGGAGTGTCTCAACAAACCTGAAATACTTGAAAGGTTGAAAGATGCTGAGAGCTAAAAAGCAGCAAAGTAAGCTAAAAAAACAACCTAAGCTTAGCTCTAATGGAGAAGCGATATGTAAAATGCGGTGAGTTTTATTGCTACAAAAAATGCCGTACAAGTAAAAACTCAACTCAACCTCTAGTACCTCTAAACGGCTCAACATCATTACAAGAATAAAAATTTATTTTATTCGATTGATTTTTTTAATTGTTATTGTTGATTGTTTTTTTAATTGTTATTATTAATTGCTTTTTTGTTTTTTTAATAAAGTGTTGTTTTAATTACATCTATATTTGCGTATTTCATTCTCCCCGAATGTCAGTGTAGAATGGAATAAAAAATTTTTTAATCAAATAAAGTTTCATAAAAAATTTTACAAAAAAATTGTTAAAATTTTATATATTTAAATACAGCTCAATACTCTCTAAAACTTAAAAAAAAAAAAAAAAGGAAAAATCTTTTTTCCGTAAAAAATTAATAATTAAAATCCTTAACTATTCCTATTTTATTTGATTTGTTTATTAACACAATACTCTTATTAGTGTTTTTAATATTAGCTATGTTTTGTCAAAAGTTTGTGCAAGAGCTTTATGAAAAGATTGCGATGGTGTGTTGTCATCTTCTTTGAGATTGTTTAATACTTTATTTAATAAAGATCAATGAGAGAAAAATGAAAAAATATATATATCTATGTAAATCTGGTGACTACTGAAATTTTTTAAATATAAATACTAATCTGATAATATGAATACGCTAATTTAATATTAGTCGAGTTACGTCATTTTCTAGGCTTTTCTATTTTAAAGTAGTTTCTAGGCTTTTCTATACACGTTTTTTTTTTTTTAATTTTATTTACTAACAACGCGTATTACGGGTTGCTTACTGCTAGTACTAATTAAAGGCTAAATAAAAATGTAAATACTAAGATTAATTGTTGACTACTAATTTTGTACTGGGTATGCACCTATACCTGGAATACCAATTTTAGTTTTAAAATGCAAAAGTTTTTTTTTAATTTATAAAAAGTTATATAGTTTGTAGAATTCTAGCTTTACACAACTAGTACAAACTATTTGTTTAAAGAAGATTGACCATATTAAACCATTTTCTTAGAAGTTGTCTTTTTTTTTTTTTTAATTTTTAAGATTATTTTTTTTTTTAATTTCTAGTTTAACAAAGTAAAAATATCAAAATAGTTCTGATAATAATGACTTTACCTCTGACATTTTTATTTCAACCATCATTGGATGGCTGAAATAAACAGATGGAAAAAAATTTCTGGTTGGAGTAAGTATCTTATTTAAATAATTTTGTCGCCGTGTTTTATTTCTCTATATACAAAACATTCGGATTTGACAATTATCTTATGAGACATTTTTCAATAATTCCATTTTCAAATAGTTTTGTTTATTTTTTTAATTTTTTTCCCTTTCTTTTTCCCTATTTCCCTATTTCTATTTTCCTAATATATATTTATTTTATAATATATAATATATATATTATATTTCCCTAATATATAATATATAATATATATATATATATATATATATATATATATATATATATATATATATATATATATATATATAATATATATATTATATAATATATATATTATATATATAATATATAATATATATATATTATATATATAATATATATATTATATATATAATATATAATATATATATATATATAATATAATATATATTATATATATCCCTAATATATATATATAATTTCTATTTCCCTAATATATATTTTAACAAATTGACTTGTAGGTGTATAAGCTTCATCAAGTTTTTTTTTCTTGTAAATTCAATCAGTTCCATAAAACAAAAGATTAGTGAAATATTGTATTGTATGTATTAATGGCAAGTTTTAGTGGTTTTAAGGCAAAGTTCATTAATGACATCAAGCTCAATTTTATTTGCAAGAAAATAAAATATCCAAACAATCAAAGTTAAATTTATTTCTGTTAGCACCTTCATCTTTCAAGAGTTCTAGTAATATAAGCTCTATCTTATCCTTTAGTTTCAACATTTTTTCCTTTTCCAAACTTTTAAATAATAGTTGAATTTTGGTTGGAGTTCATATTTGCTCAATAGTAATTTCTGAAACTTTTTTACCCATTTTTTTATCTTTGCAACTAGTTTTTAATGTTTAAGAATAATTGAAATCAATGGCTATCTTCACTAATTGAAAGAACAGTTTGAACTTTGTTGATAAGCTGTTGATCAGAATCTACAGCTTCCATATTATTATAAAGGTTACAGTAATAATGAAAATGGAACTTAGGTTAAAGGTTATAATTATTGCAACAACGTTAATTTTTGTAAAAGCACAGACAGATAGCACAGTTGTAATAAGTTTGATGTTTAGTATCTTAAACAATTTTTTTATCAACCTCATCATTATTAGTAACAGAAGCTAAAATGCCCTGCATTTAGATCAAATGAATTAAGCTTACCACTGATTAGTTTAATAACCTTCTGGGTAAGAGTTTGCTGGGGTATAAATAACTTATATAACTTCTGATTTTTAAGATTCCAAAAGAAATTTTGAAAAAAGATTGAAATAGATGTAAGTTTATATATCTTCTAGATTTTACTGAAATCCTCTATTTTTTGATAAGGTATACTCATAAAATGTCGTTTTTTTAAATTTCATTTTTAAAGAACTTATAACTTATTTCTTGACTAATTTGAAGAATTTAATGCAATAGCATATCCCAATATCCCTGAACACAAAATACTGATTGTTTTCACTTTCAATTTTTTCAATAGCAGTTTGTTGACTTTTGTGGTTTTTAAAAAATGTTTAAAGACCATATTAAAAAAAAAACTTCAAAAAATGGTCTTTCAACAAATTTTTTGTTGTTGTTTTAACTGCAGTGTTACTTGCAGCCTCGGAGACCAGGTTATTAAAAAGTTTAAGTTTTGTGTTTTATTTTTAAATGTCTGCTAATAGTTATTGAACCAGAAGTTTTAAGAATATTTTATCGTAAGCGTTTGCAACATTGAGAAGATTCTATTTTATGTGTTAGTGATTAATCCTTAATGCTTCTTGTTAGGCCAACTAGAGCATAACTACTTAATGACTAAAATAATTTAAATTTAAAAAATAAAATAATTTGTAATTGTATTATAATAAATTTGTAATTTGTATTTTATAATTAAGTTTTTGTAATAAATTATTTTAATTTCAAAATCTAGTTCATTAATTTCATTTGCGAGGGTTTAAAGTTTTTCTCTCACGCCTGTAAAGTTCCCAGTTAAGCTACACCTGGTTTTCTTTTCCAGTTTAATTCCTGTCTACATATTATTTTCAAAAGTAAACAGAGAGCTGCCACGTCACTGCCACTTCACTGCCACTTCACTGCCACGTCACTGCCACTTCACTGCCACTTCACTGCCACGTCACTGCCACTTCACTGCCACTTCACTGCCACTTCACTGCCACGTCACTGGGAGTCATGCTGTGGATTAAAGTATTATGATAAGTAAATGTTATGAAAAATATGATATGAAAAAAAAGTTTTCTTTAGTAAACTTCTTTACCTTTTTCTAAAATCTTAAAATGTTCTCAAAACTGTCATGGGTAATGGGTAATTCTGACCTTAACTCTCTCTAAATGTAGATTTAGGTAACAAACATGTGGTTTTAGATTTTAAAGATTTTGTTGTAGTTTGCTGGACCACTGAGTACATATTTGTTGTTTTTGTATTCCTTAATTATCTGAATTGTCTGTTGTATATTTTAATAAATTTGCAGAAAACGAATTGGTAATTTTTATAATTTTTTTTTCAGCTCCTCCCGAAGCTCCAAAAAACTTATCAGTAAGCAATATTCTTGAGACATCTGCTATGCTGTCATGGGTTGATCCTCAAAATGGTCAAGATATTGTTAGTTACATGATAGAGCTTTTGGAAATATCATCTAATGGGAATACATCAGTATTTTTATCTAATTCTGCAAATTATGTTGTAATAGGATTAAAAATAGCCACTAATTACACATTTAGAGTTCGTTCAGTAAGTGTTATGACTGATGTCATTTCAGAATGGTCTTCAGTAGTTGGTTTTAAAACATTAACTGCAGGTATTTTATATTGCTTTAAATAGTTTTGTAATTAGCTGTTACAAATAAAAATTTATTCCATAAAATAGAAAAATTATCTTTCCAAATATATGAAATATACAAGTAATGTTTTTTTTTTTGTTGTTTTTTTTATAGCTTTACCACCATCGCCAAGATTTGTTTCAATTTCTAATGTCAGTAAAGAGAGTGCCATGGTAACATGGGAAACACCTACAACACTATATCCTATTAATAGTTACAACATTGTGTATAAAATAATAGGCATGCAGCCAATGTCTCAAAAAGTTCCAGGTGATGTAAACTCATATACTTTGATGAATTTAGTTTCAGGAACACAATATAGAGTTGCAATCCAAGCAGTTGTTTTAAATGACGTATTTGGAGAGTTTTCTGTGGACAATATCTTTGTAACTGGTAAGATTTTCTCAAAAATCTTTTTGTAACAATTTAGTACTATGTCTTTACAAACTAATTAGTTATTAAGTATATTAGTATATTAGTAAATAATACTACTAATTGAGATTCAAGATTAAATAAAGTGATTAAATAAATGTTATTTAATTATTTCGTAAAATACTGAAGTATTTTTAAAAGTTTAGTCACTGTCAACAGTCAGTTTTCCTTCAAAATGTAATTTTATTGAGTTGAGCTATAGTTTTCCATAGTTGATCCATTAGTAGATTTTAGTGCTTTAAATGGAAAATGTCTGAACATCATTAGGACAACCTATGAACATTTGGTAGCTAAAAAAAAATAGTTATATATTTATATAAATTCTTAACAATTGCGCAGTTTTGAAACAAGTAGTTGTTAAAACATTTATATATACATATATCATTATCAGGTTTACATGCTTTTTTTTAGTTTTTGTAAAAAAAACTCAACTTTTAATATAATTATTAATTATAAAATAAAGATTTTTTCCAAAATGTTGCAAATATTTTTTTAATTTTTACTTATATATTTAATGAATGATATATATAAGATAATGATAATATATATAATTTTTCAAAATAATGATTTAAAGCTGGCCCAAAACCGGTTTCAATTACAATATCTGCTATCAGTGATTCATCTGCAAATGTTTCATGGAATGGCTCAAGCATAGGCTACAGCAGCTCTATTATCATTCTCTTTGATAATAGTATTAAAGTCATAAATACCACAAAATTATTCACAAAAAATGTCTCATGGTATACATTTACAAATCTTGCACCTAACAATCCTTATATAATAAAGATTTTTGTCAAAGATGAAAATAATATATCTAGTTCGGAAGCTTCAAATGGATTTCGTACTAAATTAGGACCAGGTAATGTTTTTTTTTTATTTTTCATTCTTTTATAAGTTTTTATTGAATATCTGAAGTAAATCCCTTTCCAACTTTATTCCCAATACCTAATTCATTACCATTCCCTACTTTTTTTACACCTTTTCCTATTTCACTGTGTTGTAAGTATGTTCGAATTACAACATTTTACAAATTTTTTCAAATTACAAAAAAAAAAAAATGTTTTCAGGTTCAGAGGCTTATTTTAGCACCTTCCACCAGAGTTGTTAACAAGATCAAAAGTAGTTAAAAAAATATTTTCAAGGCCAAGGCCTTACTTTTTGGTTTTCAGGCAAGGCCAAGAACTAATAACTCTGCCTTTCACTTATTGTAGAGAACTGAATTTTTTTTCATAGCATGATCTGCCTAAAATTTTTTGTATAAATGCAATCCATAAGCTGCTAGAAACTTTGTCTAGATTTAATTAACTTTTAAAATAATAAAAATTTAAGTGTTTCATTAAATATACTCAAAATGATGATTTTAAACAGATTAGATGTTAGCAAATTGAAAATATTGACAAATTTAAGATAATCAAAGAAAATGGGTTTTATTATCTAGTTGTATTAACAACAAATTAAGAAAAAACAGAATCTGGTTTTGATGTAGTAAACAATCAATGAGTTTAAAATAGAAAAATTTTAGTTTTATCATTAACTACTTTGTTACCAATTTTTTTACCACTACACTTATTATTGATTTGTAATCAATATTTTTTTATAGCATAGATCTAGAAAATACTGTTAGACTATTTCCTTTTTGGGTTTTGTAAAGCAAAACATCTATGCTCTAAAAGCAACGGAGGACTGGGTACTGAGACTCAATATTCAGGTATCTGAAATCAATATTCAGATAAATATCTCATAGTAAATACCAATAAACTGTACTCAGATTTTCACTCCTTATTACAAGTTAAGGTAATAATATACCTTATTGACATATTGACATATATAGGTAATAATATACCTTATTGACAGTTAAGGTAATAATATACCTTATGACATACCATGAATGCTTTTTGAGAATACAAATAAAGTTTTTAGCAATTCTAATCAAAATAGAAGAATAAAATCCTGAATAAAATTTTATAATAAATTTACAAAAACTTTTATAATAAATTTACAAATCAACTGATTTTAAATTTTGGTTTCACGAAGCAAAACCATTTTTTTTTTGAAAAATTATTAATAATAATAGATTAATAATAATTTGATAATATTCATTAATTCATTTATTAGAATAGACTAATTTTTAAAGCGTCTTTGGTTTTTGTTTTTATTAGAAAACTATGACAGCTGCAAAATCTTTTTTTTGAAGGAATCTTTTAATTTTTTTATTACAACCAATAGCATAAAAATGTTCTTATTATTGAAAATTTTTTGTTATTATTTAACAAGCATTTAACAATGAGATGCTTTTTTAAAACTAATTTCAAGAAAGCAATTTCAAGAAAGCAATTTGATTAAAAAAATTTGATTAAAAAAATTTGTTTAAAAAAATTTGATTAAAAAAAAAAATTAGTGGATGACTTTAATGGAACTTTAAAAAAACTTTTTAACAAATCAAAGTTTTAAAAATGTCAGCAGAATTTTTTCTTTTATATTTTTAAATTAAAAAAGTATGGTTAGTGTGAAATTAATAAACACTGTGAATCTTTTGGCTTGTCACATTGTAATATCTTCTTGATATGTGGTTTAATAAAAATAAAATTTAATATTTTTATCCTGGACAGCTTTGATGAGAGATTTTGGAAGTACTCAAAAAGTGCTGACTCTTTGTCAAGAGTAATAATAAATTGCTTGATGAGACTTATCATGATATGCAGTGGTGACATAAGCAATTTCTTTAAAAGTTTTGTCATTTAGTTCACTTTGATACCACAACTTTTTCAGAAAAAATTTAACAAGGAAACTTAAATTTAAAAGTAGCTTAAGGTAAAAAAAAATTTAGTACAAAATTTAACTTATTTCAAAACAAATATATATTCATATATATGCATATATAAACCAATAATAAAAATAAACAAACATAAAAAGTTAGGAGATATAAGATAGTGGTGGTAATTAACTTCTTCTTAGAACCACATTTATTTATTATTATCGACATTTCAAAGAGGTTCAGCATCAAAGTAAAAATGATGTTTATCTGACAGAATAAAGTAGGTATCCTGTCAGATAAACATCATTTTTACTTATTTTCAGCTAAACGAGTTAGGAAACCTTTATCCCTTTAGAAAACCCTCATCAACAACAAAGTAGTAATTTTTTAAATATTTTTAAACTTACTTGGGGCACCTTTTGGTAAACTAAATAAGTTAACTTGTGTCTAATAGGTATACAGTTTTTTGTTTTGACAGTTGTTGTCAAACAGCAATATTGAAATATGAAAAAATAATGCTATTATGGTTTTGGTTATGTTTTTTTGTTACCTTTTGTTAATAATGATGACTTTTAAAAGTTTTTAAACCCTTTTAAACTGATGTGGTTAAATCTAGTATTCATCATCTTTGATTGAAAAAATATATAAAATTCAAAAAACTTGAAAAAAACAAACATTTTAATGGTAATTAAAGTAAATGAGATTTTTCAAAGACTTTTCGAAGTTTGTTATTATTTAAAATATATAAATATTTTAACTTCTGCTATTTTATTGTTGTTTTTATTATTCTTTATAATTTACATTAATAAATTGGATTATATAGAGTGCTTGTCTGCTATGCAAAATGTCTAGGGTTAAAAAAACCACCACGTCTCTGTTAATACTCAGCACATTTTCCATATATCTTGTCTGACATATGTTCATGTCCATGTCTGTCAAGGTTCATGTTCTTGTCAAAAGTAATGTATTTATTTATTTAAGTATAGGGTTAAGAGAAAACATTTACTAGAATTAATTAAATTTAATTGTTTTCTTGGGAATCTCTTGGATTATGTGGATTGTATATATATATATAAACTAACAATCTGTGGTGTATATATATATATATATATATATATATATATATATATATATATATATATATATATATATATATATATATATATATATATATATATATATATATATATCTACTATAGCATATTTATATGCGCAATAGCTCACTTTTTTTGCTAGCTTAAATTAAGTGAGCATTTTTAGAAAATGATGAGGGAAAACGAAGAATAATGAATGAAAATGTTGCTGACCCATACCAAACCCTCAGTCGATGTAGCAGCACTCCACGGCGAGTCAGGCTATTTGTCAGTCGATGTATGTACTGAAGCCCCCGGCAACAGGCTATTTGACATTTGGTGAGTATGACATCATCATGCTCACCTAAATCAGCAGTATAAGATATATATGTATATATTCCTATACTTTACGGCTAAGAAAACATGTTTGTGGTAAAAAATGGCTCTTTGCTTTTTTGTGGTTTTAAAACTGACAAAATTAAGGTTTGATTATGTTAAAACACATTAATTTAATTGCAGGAAGTAATTAAACCACAAAATCACAAATTGGAAAGACTAGAATGTTTTTTAAAAAACATTTAAAATATTTTTAAAAACATTCAAACAATGTTTTTATTTTTCAACTGTAAAAAATACGTGGAGTGTTGCTACATTGACTAACTTATAGCCTGACTCGCAACAAAGTGATGTTACATTGACTGACAAATAGCCTGACTCGCAAGTCTATCAAATAATTAAAAAAAAAAAGGTGGTTCTGGTCTTTAAAACAAAAAAAACCTAAAACTGATATTTTATGGTGTATATATATATATATATATATATATATATATATATATATATATATATATATATATATATATATATATATATATATATATATATATATTGGGGTGTCCCAGAAAAAAAGTGCACTATGTCAATCCTTTTTATTTAGACCCGGTAGACCATTATAAAAATATCTGGACTCAAAGTGACTGTTTAGCTGAAGAAGGTGTTTTAGAAAAAAACTCCTGTAGTATTCAATCTTTTTATATATTAATCCAACTAACTTAAAGTTAATGATTTAATTCAATGAATTAATTCTGACTGCTATACTTACTGCAACTTTGAAAAAATGTCATAATTGTTTTGTTCTTTATTATAATTGCATTGTTTTAAAATATTTTCTAAAATAAAATACTAAGGAATACAAAAAAAAAATTAGCGGTGCAAGAATTATTAAACTTATGTTGGAAAAAACATATTTCAAAAACAAAAATATAGCCATAAAGTGTTTTTTTTATCTAAACATTCTCAAGTTTTGTTTTACCTTCCGCTGTCTAAAATCACCATAATTGTGTCTTGAAGCCTATCTTCAGAATGTGTTTTCTGAAATGAAATCTTGCACCAATTTGATGTGTTTTTCAATCCTGTCATTAACAACTGCTAATAGGGTTACTACACTGTACACAAATGTCTCAAAAGATCTTTTGTTGAGATTTTTCTCTAAATTTAACATGTCTTCTACTGACCATGAGAGAATGTCATCTTTGATTACCAAGATGGAGAAAAAAGAGATAAGACTCCTGAGAAGCAAAGTCTGATAGCTTAAAAAGGGGACCTGTGTAAAAGGTTCTGGTTGTTTTTTGTCAAAGCTGTTCATCTCTGGAACATATTTTAACAATCCCACAAAAATATCCATCCTCTCTTTCTCTTCTAAGCATTGGTCAGCTAAAGCAAAGATAACACACTGTGATGTACCAAGTGTGTCTGAGAATACCAAGATTAAGAGCTTTCCCAATCTTTTGGTACTTCTTGTAGTAAAGTAAATCTATCAGGATCTGGGATGAAATCTTGAATGCTTTAAGATCATTAGATGTAGCTTGAGCTGCCATTGGGTTCTTCAGGAATAAACAGTGAAAATCACTATAAAATCTTTTCATCCTTTAACATCTTAATCTAATTGGTACTGAATTGCTTGTTGTAATTCTTGGTCATTTGCATTGCTAACAGATACAATGAATCAACCATAAATCTTGCTTCTTGATATGCACAAGGTTGTAAAAACCTGAAGTTCATCAAATCTGCTTTGATGTAAAACTAGTTGTCATAAATACTTTTAATCACCTCTGTCAAAAATATTTGTTTTAAGAGAAGTGCAGAACTGCATTCATTTATATTTTTTATATTTTCTGTATTTATATTTTTACCTTTTTCAATCTTAGGCCAAAGATTACTCTTAGAAAAAATGAAAAGAAAAGAAAAAGCTTATATAATAACTTATATTGTAAAGCATCATACCTGCACATCTGCCAAAGAATTAGGCAAGATAGAGAGCAAACTGCAATATTTCTAATTGAATTAAGTTTTCCTGTGTTTGAGCTTGTTGTGTCAGCACATTAAGCTATGATCTGGTCTTTTAAGTCATAATATTCCACAAGATTTTGAGCAGCTAGTGCTTGATCTTTCTCTTTGAAGGAGGGTACTTGAATAATCCCAGAAGACAGTCAATTGAACCGAACTCTGGAGTGAAAATTTCTAATTGCCAACCTTTCTACTATTTCTGAAATCTTAACCTCCATCCTATACAGTTTGATTAACTTTGTGTCAAAGTGAAGAACAAGTTTAAAACCTCTAATCTTATCCAGGCTCTGCTTTCTTACTATAAGTGTTTCATTCTCTATAGCTTCATAATTTTTTCTTACCATCTGTGAAATGTTCAATATGTCAGCACTTTTATTTTACTTCACTTTTATTTACAAACTTATTTACCTTGTCATAAATGGAATCTACTTATCTAAAACATCATTCAGACTGAGTTTAAAGCAAATCTTAGTTGAATCATACAATTTTTTCTCTTTACAGTAGGAGTCTTAACGTCTGAATTCTAATCTGTTTTACTACACACACTAGGGAATTCCAACTCAAAATTTCTCTTCTGCTTCTGCTGCTGCTTTTTCCAGTAATTCTTTCCTCACCTTCAGTAACTATTTCAGCAATTGTTTTTCCAAAGGGGACATCTTGATTATGTCCCCTTTCAAACATCTCTTCAAAAAAATTTATCCTCCTTTACAGCCTCTTTATTCCATCTAGGATCCTGGCCAATTGACTTGAAAACAATGGAGCTGTCAAGACCTTATTTGCAAATCATGCACAACAGTGGCATATTCAGGGAGAGTAGGTTCCTACTTTAGATAATACTTAGTAATAGTTAGGTTATACTTGGGTAACTAAATAATAAAAAAAGCTTTTTATATCTAAGAAAGTCTTTTTTTCCCCATCCATTTTTATAATTAAAGTTCTGTTTAGTGATTTTTTTGCAATTTCTAAAACTCTCTAAAAGGTTAAAAAAAAAAGGGTCACTAACAGCACTTCTACTAACACTATTAAGTAGCGTATTATTATATAGAGATAGCAATTTATAATGTAAGTTAGATCAAATTTTGCAGGTCATGCCTGTGCATGACAGGCAAGACCTCTAGACACGCCTATGTTTGAAAATGTCTTCCTTGTGTTGTTGTGGAAACAAACATTGGCCTTGTCTAAGAACTTTTGAGTGTGTTGGCTAGTGGTTTCTTTGCTCATCTCATCATAGGGTTCTCATCTTTAAAACTTTAATGTGTATATACTGATTTAAAGACCTAAAAAACAGATTTAAAGACCTAAAAACAGATTTAAAGACCTAAAAAACAGATTTAAAGACCTAAAAAACAGATTTAAAGACCTAAAAAACAGATTTAAAGACTTAAAAACAGATTTAAAGACCTAAAAAACAGATTTAAAGACCTAAAAAACAGATTTAAAGACCTAAAAAACAGATTTAAAATATTTTTTCATAATTTTTAATGTGTTATATATTACATATACAATTGAATTAAATTACCTGTATATAATATACTGTGTATGCAGAGCAATGACTCTAGTCTTAGATTCTAGTCTTAGAAGTTACAAACAAATTTATCTAAAAAATTTTAAAATATAGCATAAAAGCTTATATGTGAGAATATTTTGCAGATAAATATATTTCACAGAATACTTAATTTTTATGATAAAAGATTTTTATGTTTAGTCACTTACTTAATTTACTGTTCACTGATGAAAAAATTTTCATCAGTGAAGTGTAGCCAGTCTTGTTCCAAATGTTAACCAGCTCTCTCATGATGCACACACTTGTTATTTCATTTCTGATATCAACGCAACACATACTACCACTGCATTTAAGCTTGCCTGTATTCATCAGAGGACATCAAATTTTGGATGACAATGTTTTGATTGCAGTTAAACGGCTTAGAATAATCTAGTAAATTCTGCAACAAACTTCCCCATAGGTTTGGAGAAAATATCTGGAGAGGGTACCCAACAGATAAAGAATTCTTCCACTATTTTCCTTAATGTACTAGCCTCAAAATCACAAAATATAGCTTGTTTTTATATATTTTTTACATATATGTCAAAATTGTCATTAAATGATTCAATTTATATTATTTAAATTAGAATTAAGTAGAAGTAAAGTATGTTACTGTTTTTCAACATTCTAGTAACTGATAATTTATTAAAATTTTTATTTTTCTAAATATATTTGCAGAGTTTTAAGCATAAAATGAAAAAAAACTCAGAAGTCTCATTAAAATATATATGAAGTTTTTTTCTACAATTTTTTTAACTTTTTTCAGCTTAACAATAACTTTAAAGCCATATATTTTTATGGTGGTCAACTGGAACCAAATAAAAAAGGATTGCCATGTTGGGACCAAATAAAAAAGGATTGCATGTGCACAATGTTGTATTGAAAAAATTTATATATATATAAATATATGTATATATTTAGGTTAAACTTTTAAACTTTTTAAAATCAAATTAATTTTAAGTCTCTCGACTTTTTAAGTTGGGTGTCATTCTACTAAGAATGTGGTTAGAATAAGATCTCAAAACATTTTGCACAAAAGACAAGAAGCTCAAGCTACTGCACCACTAGTATTTGTACAGTTTTAGAGATATGTTTTTTTTTAATATTCAGAAAAATAACTTTTAAAAGTTTCAATAATCTGAAAAAATTTTCAGTGATTAAATAAAAAAAGAAAAATAAGGTTTTTGAAACAAAGTTAATCTTGTAGATGTTCTGAATGCTCCTACGAATACTTCTGTTAGTATTCTTAGTCCATCAAGTGTTCTTTTTCAATGTAACACAGTATCTTTGGCAGTTGCATATGAAATCAAAATTGAAGGCAATCCAAACCCAAGAGTTCCACTTTATCGCACAGATCAGTTTTCTGCTTTCTTAGATAGTTCTCTTATTCAAAAGATGGAAATCAAAGATTTGATTTCTGGGTATGGATACTTTCTCAGTGTACGTGGTATTTTTGGTGATTATGCAGGTCAATGGTCACCTGTTGTCCCTATTGTTTTATGTAAGTTTTGTTGAATTTTGAGTTATACATATTTTAAGGATCTTTTATGATATTTATTCTATTATGCTTTTATTATTTTAAGATTTTTTTTTTTAGATGGTGGAAGACCTCCATCTCAAATTCAAATCACCAATATCAATGAAAATAGTGCAATAGTTCGGTTGACTCAAGCGTATGATCGTCTAACATTAAGCCGTATTAATATCAAGTATTTTATAAAATTAGAAGATACTGATGGTAAAAGTAATTTAATAAACATCACATTTGCTATACCACAAGGAAACTATGGGAAATCTCTGTCATTTAAGTTTCCCAATTTATTAGTCAGCAATTCTAGCTACAAAGTCTCTATTTTTTGTGAAAAAGATAATATTAATGGAACTGCAAATGTAACCACATTTAAAACTTTGTTGGGTATGTTGAATATTTTTAATTACATATATTAAGTTTTTTATTTTTATTTTTTTTTTAGCTTTGTTCAGTTACTTAACTTAAATGTTTAACTCAAGATAAATAACGATAAAAACAGATAATAAACAGAAATATAGTATTTCTGTTTATTATTGTTAGTATATTCAGGTATTTATCGTTATATAATATCGTTATATATTTGGTTTCACAAAAGGTATTAAATAGAGCATTTTATTGTAGGTAGAGCACAAAAAAACTTAATTTTAAGGTTGGACGTTGGTTGCCATCATTTTTGCTAATAATATATTTTTTCTACTTTCATAGTTTTTTTACTGTTGTAAATCAGTTAACATAAATCATGTCTAAAAAGGTCTTTGACCACTTGCCGTTGTAGAAACACATAAACTCACAGTTATAAAATGTAATTTAAAATTTTGTTTTGCTGTAACTAACATCCTTCATTTTTGATTTTATCTTTCCAAACCCAAACCTCAGTCAATGTATTTAACTTAATACACTCAAAACAGTCAAAATTACCAAGATATATTTATATATTAAATAAAGATAAATAATTCTTTATCTTGTTTTTAGAAGGCATTTTGGGTAATTTTTTAAAACAATTTTTTAAAATATTATTATTATATTTATTACTTTTTTAATTTTTTTTTTATATCAAATAAAGCTAAAATAATTCTTTATCTTGTTTTTTGGGTAATTTTTTAAAACAATTTTTTTATATATTATTTTATATTTATTGTTTTTTTATTTATTATTTTTATATTAAAACTCTTCTTATATTTTAGTAGAAATAAAAATATGTTAAACAACAATAAATAAAAATATTTAAAAAATATTAAGAATTAGAATTAGAATTTTACAAAAAATAATATTAAAAGAATTAGAATTTTAGTTTTTTCGGGACTTTCTAGAATTAGTTTAGATATAAACTTATAAACTGTAAACTTAGTACTTAGTTTCTTTAACTACTAGATCTGTTTAGTGGTTGTGCTCATGTTGTGTTTAGTGTTGTGTTTACATTGAAAATTTTAGTTTTGTGATTTTGATGACTGTTGTGGCATCACAAATAATGTCTGCTGTGACATCATCAATTGATGACTGCAATTGATCATTTGCAGAGTTTTCTCTTTTTACGATTTGGTACATTCCAAGCTGAAATAAATGGTGAAAATGTCTGGTTTTTCTCTTTAATTTACAGAAAATGAATCCAAATAAAATAAAATAAAAAAAAATTTTGATATATCATTTTAATGCTGTACACAAAAAATTTAAAACAGTTTTTTTTAAGTTCAATTTAAAACAAAAAATTTATTTTATAAAAGAATTTCTGGTTGATTCTAGATTTTATTTGTTGATTTTAATGCATGGCTAATTTGTTCACTAGAATGAAGGAAGGGTGGGGGGGGGGAGGGTATGGAAACATTTGTGACGTCACGGATGATTTGATTGAGTTCTTTATGTTTTTAGAGCATTAAAATTTAAACTTGAATATTACTTGAATAATTATTATTTTATTCTTATGTGAGCATTTTATGTCATTCTGCAAATTCTGTTATATTTTTTTTATTTTGTTTTAGAATATGAAATAAATTACTTGGTTTAATTAATTGGTTTAATTAAAGTTTAAAAATTACTTGGTTTAATTAATTAATCTTTTTTTTGTTGTTGATAAAATCTATAAATAAAACAAAAAATTGGTATAAATTATCATACATCATTTGGTATAAATTATTATACATAAAAAAAAATCATCAAATAGTAGTTTGGATCAGTGTGATTTAAATTTGTCCGCACAGTAAACAGTAATTTCTCGATCTTTGTCACAGTAAATGCTTAATCAGTTCAGAAACCCATATTGGCATAGTAAGTTATTAAAGCTTTTGAAAATATCTGCAGAAACATACATTGACTGAGAACTTGTGTTTAGGAGTTTTCTTCACATGTTTTGTTTTAAAAAAATGCTTTTTAATAATAACGTTTATCAAATAAATTTGTTTTTAGTTTTAGTTCCTCCTCGTCAGGTTCACTATCTTAAAATTACATTTTTTGATAACAAATGTACACTTTCATGGCAAGGTATTTCTGAGCGCCCTGATATCTTATATTACGAGATTTCTTTGCTTTATAATTACCCAAATGTTACCAAAAGCTTTACTTTTAAAACTTCTGATGCCAAAACTACCAATTATGAGTTATTTGAATTGAAGAAAAATATTTTCTACTATGTTGCTGTTAGAGCTGTTGTTTCTGAGCAAGATATTTCTAATTCTAAAGGAGTCTGGTCGTTGCCATTAATATTTCAATCAAAAGGTGAAAAGCAGTTTGTTTTCTCATTAAATATTTTTTGATGTATATATGCTATGGTTTAAAATTGTTTATTTAAAATAAAAGAAAATCAAAAAAAAAAAAAAATTTTTGAAATTAAATAAAAAATATTCATAGCAGATTATTTAAAGTTAATATATTAGGCTGTTAGCTTCTATCTTTTTGTGAAAAATGTTTATACCATCTTTAATTTGGTTGTTTTATTTACAGAGGTTATCTTTTTCCAGATATTTTCGGAACTCAAAAATGTTTTTCCGGATGTCAAAAATGATTTCTATACATACAAGTTTAGGAATATATTTCTGTAAAATATTTGCTTTTTAAGCTTTTTCACTCATTACTCATACAAAAATTAAGAAAATTTAAAAAAAATTAAAAACAACTCAGCTAAAAAGCAAAATTTAGAGGAAAATAAGGGATATTTTACCTTAATGATTTTCCGGATTTTTAATATATGACCTGGATGATCTATGTATTTAGCAAGTTTCTTTTTTCATTTTTTATTCTTGATTAGATTTTAAAAAAGTCCATAGAAAAATATAAAAAATAAAAAAGTAATAAAAATTTACATGTTTTCCAGTAAAAACCTTTTTAACAAGTAGAAAAAACATTTTAATACCTTATAACACATTTTTTGACGTCTATAACACATTTTATGTATAACATGTTAAATTAATTATGTTTATAACATATATTATTTAAAATTTATTAATTACATGTACATTAAGTTAGCATTTTGTCAGGTTGTATGAAGGATTCAAAAAAAATATTTGTTTATTACTCTTCTTTTTTGTAATAATAAATAATAGTATTTTATATATATTATATATATATATATATATATATATATATATATATATATATATATATATATATATATTATATATATATATATATATAGTCAGGATAGATAATAGTCAGAAAGAAATAAATTTAAACAAGAACAATTATAATTGGTCACAAAATCCATAAAATATCTTAAAGTCAACAATTTACTTATAGAAAGTCTTTTTTTATTTTCTGTTAAACAAGCAATGCCTAATTAATATATTTTTGAATAAAAATTGGTAAAAAATTCAAAATAAATTTTTTGGGCAACACCAAAATTTTTATTACATGTTGACATTTTATAAATTTAAGTGAGCAAAATAAATTAGTTTTTATTGAAATTGAGAACTTTTTTGTCTTCATTTCACTTTAGGCCGCCAAAGGAAGGGCAGGCAAAAAGGACAGTTTTCCTCTTGGATATCTGCTTGGGCAGCAGATATCCAAGGGGTGCCAAATGAAAAGAAGGTACCTAAAAAAAAAAAAGAAAGAAAAAAGATTGTAAATAAGGGCGCCAATCAGGGTTGCTGTCCCAGGTGGTATGACTTTCATTTCACTGGTCAGGTTACTAATGATCTTTTGAAACTTTTACTTATAGCAAAAGTATTAAGAATGGTTGAATGTTTTTACTTTTTATCATGCAAGATGTTTATTTATTGATGTATACTCTTTGTCTAAAATTAAAGAAACAGAAAGATCTTTTTTTTATTGATAAATGTGACCAGTCAATGCCAAAGTTCTGTAATAAGTTTTGAGGCTGAGGAACTTATTGATCCATTAGTTAGAGTTTAGATGTTTGGTGGCAGCTGTGGCGCAGTGGTAGGGCACTTGCCTCAGAAATGTAAGATCCGTGGTTCAAACCCCACCTTTGGGCAAGTTTTGCAACATCGGTTGGGAAGGAGGCGTGAACTTCTTATTAAATGCTCAAGCTTCTTATTAAATGCTTCGAGGTTCTGGGTTTCTGTGACTGTAAGGACTTCTTGTGGCACCTTAGTCAACTTAAAAAAAAAAAAAAAAACTGAAGAAATGTTACTCTATAGATACTATCAATGTGCTAGAAAGTATCTTTAATAAATGCTATGTTTTTCTCTTATGTAAAATTTGTACCTATTTCTTCATCCTTTGAATAGTCTATATATACTATACATCCATTTTGAATGCTGTATTGGCAAAATCTTTTGAAACAATTAGTTTTGATTTACTATAATTTCCTCAAATTAGTTTTACTATAATTTTCCTAATGATTTATGATTTCCTTAAATCTTTTGCAAATTTGCAAATTTCAGATCGAAGATTAAGTGACTTAGTAGTTTGCGTACAAAAAAAAATCCAAATTTATTTGCATTGCAAATTTCATCCAGTTTACAACTGTATAAAATTGTTGTTTTCTTTCTTGGTGTGAATATCAAAATATCAAATTTTGCCCAACATTTCAGTTGGGCAAAATTTGATATTTTTCTAGTAATGTATTGAAAAAAACAATTTTCTTTTTTTTACCTATGGAGCTGCCCATTTATAATATCAACAAAATGGATGATCTAAAATTTTTGGCAATTAAATTTTTTGGCAATTGTCATTTTTTATGCAATCAAATCTATTTTATTTATTATCCAATAAAATCTACTATGCAATAAAATCTATATAAAAAATCTAGTTTTACTAAATGATGATTATTTTTAAAACCTTTGTACAATTTCAACTTATAAAAAACTTTTTCTTTTATATAAAGGACCTGGTTAATATTCGAGGATCAGTAGCAGCCCTTATAAAATAATTATAAAAAAATATTTTTTTTATTTCTTTTATTTAATGTGTAAATTTTTTAAATTGTTACATTTTTTCTCAATAAATTTAAACTGATTAAATCTTTTATATCAAACAACTCAAAAAAAGAATCAACTGACATAAGTCCAATTTCAAAAAAATTTATTAATTAAAAAAAAATTCAAAATAATAAAATTGTATCCTAAGAGCTATTATTGGATTTTTGCATCATCTCCTAATTAAAACACACTGCGCATGCACGAGCACTTTAACCAAATTTGTGTATTTTACACATAGGAGCTATTACTTGATAATATGTGTATACACAAACACACACAAACGCAAACACACACACATTCATGCACCCACAATCACGCTGACATTATTTGTGTAAAAGATATATTTTTTTTTAGTGTCGATTGCAACACCCAACGATTTAGTTATTTTTAACAATGACACTTCTGTAAAAATCAAATGGAATGTTATAAACATGAATGATATTCTCTATTATGTAGTTGAACTTTATACATCAGAATCTGGAAGTTTATATTTTAGAACAGATGGACCATCACCTTCACTAGATATTTACTCTTTATTTCCAAATACATACTATCAGTTTAGAGTACATGCCGTGGGAGCCCAAAATAATGTTGGGGAATGGTCAGCCTGGGAGTCTGTTGTTACTCAAAGTAATTTTTTCGATGATTTTTTTTATTGACTAATTTTAATGCAACAATCAAAAAAATAATATATTCGTTTTTTTGAAATAAAAGTATATCTATGTATGTATGTATCTCTCTCTCTCTCTCTCTCTCTCTCTCTCTCTCTATATATATATATATATATATATATATATATATATATATATATATATATATATATATATATATATATATATATATATATATATATATATATATATATAACATATATATAACATATATATAACATATATATAACATATATATAACATATATATAACATATATATAACATATACATAACATATATATAACATATATATAACATATATATATAGCATATATATAACATATATATAACATATATATATAGCATATATATAACATATATATAATATAGAAATATACAAAAATAAAAATTGTTAAAATCTAAAACAGATTTAAGTTCTTTTCCGTAATTTCAATCATTTACGTTTTTGGTAATAAAATTTATTTGCCTGTTAGTTACTTTAACTATGTCATTATGTTTAAATTTTAATTATAGTAAATATGTCATTATCTGATTTGATTGGTTTTTTATTAGTTCTTTTTTATAATTGTATTTACAGGTAAGATGGAGGTTTCTGAGGCTCATTCAAATAATCACAGCAATCACAGTAACTCAGGTGTCATTGTTGGAGTAACGATTGGTGTTGTTGGCATTGTTCTTATTTTTGCTTATGTTGTTAGAACATTATGGAAAAAAAAGTACAAACCTACAAAGTTCAAACAGTTTGAAAATAGTGTCAAATATTCGAAAAATTCATTAAAAGAACAAATCAATGTTCAAAGAACATCTACATAAATTGAATATATTATTTTAATATGACAATATATATATATATATATATATATATATATATATATATATATATATATATATATATATATATATATATAATATATATATATATATATATATATATATATATATATATATATATATATATATATATATATATATATATATATATATATATATTGATATATAATTTCCAAATGAGATTCAACATTTATGACGGATACGTTTTTGTTTAACATTGATTATTAATGTACAACTGTTAACATACTGTTTACAGTGTTTTGATAAGTGTATTTAGCAAATATATAATGTTGAAATAAATTTAAATGCATTTATATAATAAAATATGCTCCTGTGCCACCGTAAGAGAAGACTTTCATAATAAATTTCATAATAAGCACACAAGTTATCTAACCTGTTTAAAGAAGCACTTAGATAGGGAAAGTAACAAAAACTGAAATTATTGATCTATGTTTATCTAAATGGTTATATTGCTAAAGTTATTAAGTTGTACACAGTTGACCTTGTGCACAGTGTTCATTCTGGACATTACCATTATATATTTTACATGTGAAATATATGATTTTAACGTGTTAGATGCTGTCTATAAACAACTTCACTTTAAAATTCTTATTTAAATATAAAAGATTATTGATTCTCTTGCGCGAAGATTTTTAAATTAATAAAGTGCTTTATTTTTGATGAAAGTCGCCGCGCAAGATAGCAAATAATCTCCATTTATCAAAAGATTACATTTAGCGTGAGATCATTTTTGAACAGTTCTTTATATAAGTTTATGACATGTTTTTAATTAGCACCAGTAATGCAGTTAATGATTTTGGACTTGAAAAAGTCTCCAGTTTGTAATCTTGCTTTAATCTCATATAGCGACATTATAAGTAAGGGGGACATCCGCAAAATGAATAGTATTTATTTGATAGTTCTCAGTCACCAATTAGATTTTTCTTTAAAAAAAGTTAAACTACATGTAAATTCTGGTAAATGTCGTGGTTTTAGCAGAAAAATTTTTAATACAATAGTTTTTAAAATATTTTATTATCAAAGTGATAACAACAATCGTTATTGCTATAATGATAATTTGTTATCGCCGTAATAGAAAGAATTTTTTATAAACTATTATCTAGGATGTGTTTGTATTTCAGGTTCAGCCAGTGAGACCATTACCACAGAAGAAATGACAGGTATTGGTATAGGAGTGTTTGCAGCGGCTACCTTCATTATTGCAATTATAATAATTTGCATTCAAAATAGAAGAGGTAAAAAGTTTAGCATCAGTGTAAGTTATTCTAAAAAAAAAGGCTATGAAAATTTTGACGAGCTAATGGAACCAATAGACGATGCTATAGCAAAACAAATATTCCGATTAATGTACAGTTAATTGCGCAACAGATGAAAATAATGCACTAATTATTTTAATAGCTTTGCTTCATGATAACATGATGAGCTGACGATAAGAAGTTGTTAGGTTTAAAAGCTTTTTTGAAAGTTTTGTTAAAACATGTTAAATAAATCAACGAACAATTTTATTTTATTAAATACCGAATTGTGAATTTTCATCGAGAATAGAATAATTAATTCTAACTAAATATTATTCAGTATTAACGGATCACTCATCATTTTAATCATTTGTATTTTTTTATCGGTGGTCTTGGTGGCCTTGTTGATCTCATATGGTCCAGATGCGAATTTTTTCGTTTTTATAAATACGTGAACATATTGTAGCTAGAACAAAAAAGGATTTATTGGAATGCAGAGTGTACACGGAGAAGAAATTATTTTATAGATTTTAAAAGTACTCAAAATGAGTTGCAAAAATGATGATACTCAGTGTCTATTTACTGTTGGTAAGTATTTTTGAATTCTCTGCATTGAACTTCTTCATTTTTTATTTTGTTTCTACGCTTTCTTCTCATCATAGAATTGTTGATTAAAGTTTTTCATTTACACTGTAAAGAACTGATTATACTCCCAGTCAAATCCTAGCCAAACTCAACTTGATTTAAACAAAATGTCTTCACAAGTGACGAAAAAAAGACAGTTTTCTTTTTATTGGAATTAACAGAAATTTGTCAGTACTTGAGACAACAGATCTTTGTCATGAATTTGAGTTCAAAAATAAAAAAAATGCAAAAAATATTTTTTACGTGAAAGATTTTTATTTTTTATCAATTGAAATTTAAATACTGGATGCTGACGTCATAGTTATTCTAATTATGGTCTTTTACACTATAGTGATATTAGAATACAAAAAAATAACTTTCTTACGACGAACACTTCAGCTGGAACCCCAGTTTGTTGGTTCACTTTGAATAAGTCAAACCAAGGTTATTTCAATTTTTAAATAAATAAACACTCCATATTTAAGGTGTGGTCTTTATATAAATTGAAAGCTATTTTTTCATCAATGAAAGTGGATTTCTTTTTCAGTACCAGGCTTTTACCAGTGATTTAGATCCACTTGAGGTAAGATGTAAAAACGCTCTTTAATAAAGCTTCGTAGGCATTTATACGTTGCTTATTTTGCTAAAGGTAAATGTAATCAGGGCTGCGTTGACCGTAAAGAATAACACAATAATATGAAACGTTTTAACTTAAGAAACCAAGTGTTTAACCACTCGTATACTAATACTCGTATACGAATACTCGTAATTATTAGTAAACATATATTTGAATTAAGATTTTCAGTAGCTCAATTATATCAGAACGAGTTTCAATAATTTTATTGGTAGTCATATTCCATACCAGGGCTGTGGAGTCGGAGTTGCGGAGTTGCGACATTTTTGGCGGAGTCGGAGTCGCTAAACAAAATCGCGATTCCGACTCCAATAGTCGGTATTACACATGCATGTACAAAATATTCAATTAACCTTATGTTCATACTAAAACTCAAAGAACATATCGTAAATTTGTCAAAAAAGAATATTTTAACTTATCGCGTAATATTTTTTAAGAAATTCAAATAGTTTTTCAAAAATTTTGCTTTGGAATTGGAGTTGGAGTCGGAGTTGTGATCAAAAAATTTCAACCACTGGAGTCGGAGTCGTTACTTTTTTTTTTACGATTCCACACCCCTGTTCCATACTAGCTTTAATTATAAAATAGTAAATAGATGATGTAACTTTTTTTATTCATGAAATTATTTTTTTATTATAATTTTCCGATTTTTTTTTTTTTTTTTTTCTATCTATAATTTTCCTGTTTTATCTATTTTCGAGAGAACTTTTAGTTTATCGAAAATAAATAAAAAAATTTTATCTGCTTTCGAGAAAATATAATACTTTTTGTTCTGCGCAACCAACCTAAAACTCGTCCAAAAATACATTAATAAAAATGTTTTTTATAGCCAACATTAAACACCTTTTTAAGTTCGATTTTGATTTTTTTTTTTTTTTTTTGATTTTTACGTGTTTTTTAAATTTTTAGAATTTTTATGTTGTTCGGCAATAGTTTTTCAAAAATCGTTAGTTTCAGGAAGAATTTTTTTTCCAAAAATGAAACAAACCGAGCCTTTTGATACTGACGATTTATTGCATTGAAAACAGAATATTGTAAGTTTAAGATACATAAACTCGGGTTTTTAATATTAGTCAAATTCATGTCTGACTTTACTATTAACATTAATGAAAGGATAGATATTAGTATCTCAACTTATGAACTTCTTATTTTCTTTGCCAATTTGTATTTGAAAATTTAAACGCAGAAGTTAAATCAGAACCATTTCACACAAGTTGCATCTGAATACATTTTTTATAAAGCTTTATAAAACTCTAAAGTTGTAACATCAAACCTTGTATTTAACTCAGTACTCAAATGGTCTCGCAAAGGACAATGATAAGCAATTTATAACAATTTGAAATTGATTCAGAAAGAGTATTAGCTCTGTTTTTTACAATAAATAAAGTTCTAGGCTTTTATTTAAAACAATTATTTTACAAACGATTTTTATGCCTGTTTATTGCATATTTGAAAGTGTTGATCTTTCTAAATAAAGTAAAACATAAAAACTATATATTCAGCTGTTTTCTATTGTTATTTTAAATTTTTAAAAAGTTTATTAATAAATTTATTAATAAATTAAAATCTGCTTTAGAGAAATACCTTGGAAATTTATTCAACTACCAAAACTTAGAAAAATAAAAAAAAATTATTACAAAAATCTGTTGCTTGCTTTTGTTATTACATAGAGGAGAGTCGCCGAAATTTAAACATCTTTGGAATGAATGATTTTCAACCGAATTATTTAATACAGATTATATTAATACAGGCAGACAGCCCCCCCCCCAGTCTTTTTTCCGATAGTGCAATCAACAAACCCAAACCTTAGTTTGATTTAGATGATTGCACCGCTATCAGAAATAAATTTGATATTGCACAAAAATCTTAAAAAAATAAAAAATCGCCTTGGCAAAATAAAGTTCTTAATAAATAATTATTGAACCATTTTTATTATATCAATTAAAAATCAACTAAATAAAATTTTCGAGGTTTTTGATTGTTACTGAATTGAACCTAAACTTTTTTAAGGTGGTAGAATGCTAAAAAAGTTATTTTTGTATTTTGCAATATTTCAATAAATTTTTTTACTTCGAACATGATAAATACATTAGAAAATTCATAATTTTTTTTTTTTTTTTTCATATATATTTTGGGCAAAAACAGGTGATTTTAGGCCAAAAACAGGCTAAAATCTTGGCAAAGATATCTCAAAAAGTATAATTTATTAAGTTCTAATTTTTTGTATTTTTATTTGTTTTATGTAGATAAATGTCCTGAGATAAAAATTTTTGTTAAAAATTTCTTTATTTTAAAGCATCGTTAGGATTTTCAAAGCGCCCAATTAATAATCGCCCAATTAGAGCAGCCGTGGCGCAGTGGTTAGAGTTCTGGCTCAGATCCCAGAGGTCTGAGGTTCGACGCCAGCTCTAGCCCAACAAGTGACATTGGTACGGAAGGAGGCGTGAACTTCCTGTTAAATGCTCTCCCGCGGTGCTCTATGATGAGACCGTAAGGACTTCTGGG